AGCTATGGTTACCTACGTAAGACCTATACAAGATCAAGCCAACATCAGTCAACATTCCAGCAAGCACTATTTGGACTCAGTGGATCCCCATTCAAAAATAAAAGGACAGTACACGAATGTAGAAGGAAGACACATTGAGTCTAGGGAGAGGGAGAGAGGAGCTGAGGGCAAATATAATCAATTGCATGCATGTATGAAAACTGTCCAAAGTAAATCTTTTTTATTTTTATTTTTTAAATGAAAGTATGGGGGTGAGAACTGATATTCCATGGGATAGAGCCCAGAAGCTATATTTACAATAGAATTTTAAAAATTATAAAAGAAAACAAGATCATTATATTAAAAAAGACCAAGAATATGCAGTAACTGTAAAATACACATGCATCCAACACCAAATTTCGCTATCCCATGCTTACTAAAGGGCAGAACAGTCAGAGAGACAACAAAAACATGAGAAGTCAAGTATACTGCAGACCCAGTACACCTAACAGACATTTATAGGACATTTCACTCTGCTGCAGAATATACACTCTGCTCATCTACCAGGACAGCCAAAAACACATCTGAACAAATTTGAAAAATACAAAATTGCACATTTTTCTCTGACCACATGTATTTTCTTAACGGAAGAACTACAGGAATTATATGAATATACAAAAATTCAATAACATGTCATCCAAATCTTCTAGTTTCAAAAATGAACAAAGAGTTGAAGCATTTCGTGAAACAAGTGAAAATAGAAATACATTAGCAAAACTTATGTGATACAGCAAAAGCATTCTTAAGTACTGATAACTGAAAAAGTAAAAATATTTTACATAAGCAACCTAATGATAAATTAGAAAAAAACATAACTTAGTGGATTGAGAGATGAATTTTTTTAAAACATAATTTAAAAATAATAAAAACAAAGATAATTTAAAATATAAATAAAACCTTATGTGGACTAAAGAAATAGAAAAATCTCAATAAATGAAAAAAAAAGATGAAAAGGGTAATGTTATAACTGATACCACAGAAGTTAACAACAAAGACCAAAAAAAAAAAAAAACCCCGAAGACATATAACCCATGCATAATAAACTCATGTCAAGCAACAAAATTGACTCAGAATGAGACTAGATCCCTATCTTTCACCAGTCAGACAAATCAATTCAAAATGAATAAAGAACTTACCATACAAAACTATGTCAGCATAAGAAAATATAGGGTAATTGCTTTGGAATACTAAAACATGTAAAGACTTTTGGTATACGACCTCAAATACAAAAAGGGGGGGGGGAATTACATGTTTATGAAAACAATACAGTAAAGAGGCAGCCTACAAAATAGGATTTACAAATTATTAATCTAATAGGGATTACTATCTAGGCAGACATTTCAAAAGAAAGAAAAATATTTGCAATCATAGATAAAATATGAAACAAAAGGCAAAATAAGACAGTATATACAGCCCTAAATGTTTATTTGAAAATAAGTAAATGATATAACTTAAGATAGGGGAAAAAAAACTTAAAAACTGCTTAAAATGATAGGTAATGTAGGCATAGTAAACTCTCAAAATATATCAAGGGTACATATACTTAACAAATATACTTTTCCTACTTTTATTCAATATAAAAGTAAAATTTCAAAACAATTGGGTGAATGTGGTAGCACTGTTGAATAACCAAGTGCAACACACAGGCAGGAAAATTTCAAGTTCCAAGTCCAGTTTGGCTCCACTCTGTAGAACTAGTACAGACTAACAGAAATGAATCATTAACTATTAGAAATTCTTAATCATAATGTTGAAGAGATGGCTCAGCTGTTAAGAGCATATACTGTTCTTGCAGAGGACCTAGTACCTGAAATGGGTCACTCACAACCACCAACGGATGCAGAGGATCCAGTATCTCTTCTGGCTCCCCGGCATTCATAAGCATAAACTTATACACAGGCACACATACTTAAATTTCTTAATTCCCAAATAAACATTCTTATAACTAAAAATATATTGAAAAGTATTTTCCAAAAGAACATATACAAATAAGGACAATTTTACAGAAATATTCTACTGAACTTTCCAGGAACAAACTCACTCATCATATTCCAATTTACATAAAATATACAGTATTTACCCAATGAATTTTGTTTTCCTTTGCTGTTGTTTGGTTTGTTATTGCCACTGCTGCTATTTTTATGAAACGGTTTCACTATATAATCCTTAATTGGCCTGTACTTGTTTTGGTAGACTAGGCTGGCTTAGAACTTACAGACACCAGCCTGCTTCTGTCTCTCAAGTACTGGGAGATTAAAGACATAAACCACCATACTCATAAGTAAGAATAATGAAAAGAACAAGGTCAACTTTAGTCTCAAAATTACAAAAAAAAAAAAAAAAAATCCTTAAAAAAGTGTTTTTGGCGCCAGGTGTGTGAGACAGGAGGATCTCCTGAGTCCAGGAGTTCTGAGCTGTAGTGTGCTATGCTGATCAGGTGTCTGCACTAAGTTCGGCATCAATATGGTCACTTCCTGGGAGCAGGAGACCACCAGGTTGCCTAAGGAGGGGTGAACCAGCCCAGGTTGGAAACGGAGCAGGTCAAAAAGTGTTTTTGGGAGGAAAGTCCTATGCTTTAGTACTATACAACCATTATTCAAAGCTTTACCTGTTTTTATCTGTTTCTACAAGGAAGTTTCTGTAGCTGCTTATGTAAGTAACTAAATAGGCCAAAGCAACCACAGTGTAACTACCATGTAACTGTTCTCTACACAAAGCATAACTAGCTTTATGAAGCTTGCTACAGTATTTGCTACTTGCTTGAAACATACTGAACCCTAGGCCAGGATTACTCAATTGCATTATGTTAGCCACTATTCATGAAAAAGTAGTAAAGAAAAAAATTAGTTAGTTAGTAGCATAAACTCTGCCTCCAACACAAAGATCGGCCTGCCTCTGAGTGCTAGGGTTAAAGATGTGTGTCACTATGCAGGGCTTTATCATCACAGTTCTTAATACACATTATCAATTTAAACTCAGCAGTGTATAAATCATGTATGTTAAAAACTGGGTTATCATTGAATGGAAATGTTAAAGTTTTTCTTAAAAAGGAGAAAAAATAGTATCATTTTGGTAAAGGCATCTTAGTATCAAAGTAGAAATGAAACTTCTAAAGCCAGGCACTGGTGGTACACACTTTTAATCCCAGCACTCAGGAGGCAAAGGAAGGTGATTTCTGTGACTTTGAGGCCAGTCTACTACAGAGTGAGTTTCAGGACAGCCAGAACTACACAAAGAATCCCCGTCTTGAAAAACCAAAAGAAATGAAGCTAACAACAAAAAAGCAACCAGGAAAATCCCTTTCCTTCCCCTCCCTCTCCTCATAAAAATTAAATATTAATAATTAAATAAAATTAAAAATAAAAATTAAAGACAATTTTTAAATTTTGTTTTCTAATCGTGTGTGTTGGGTGGGGGCGGGACCTGTTGTGAGTCAATGTGCACATGAGTACAAGTGCCTACAGGGGCCAGAGAGGGCTGGATAACCTGAAGCCACAGTCACAGGCAGTTGTGAACCCTGTAACATGGGTTCTGGGAACCAAACTCTAGTACTCTGGAACAGCAGCTCTTAACCAGAGTCCTCTATCTTGCTATGTCAACATTTCCAACTTACTGTCTTGGCCATGCCTATGATTGTAGGGAGCTAAGCAGGATCTAGGAAAGCTTGGGGGAAGAGAAGTACTATGATAAAACTATACTGGATGGAAAAAAATGTAAAGCCAACCCCTCCCCCAAATTGGTCATTTCTGAATTTTTCAAATAACTTATCCTCCAGACACATTCCTCAGATCTCAAAATGTAATTTTTAAAAATGAGCCTGTTAAATCAGGACAATACGAATCATTATTGAAATTTCACTCTAGTAAGAGGGATGTCTCCATAAGCACGAACAAGGCTAAGATACCTGAAAATATTTTTTAAAATTTATTAATTCAAATTATTTCCTATAATTAGAACAAAGTTCATATTTTTTCTTTTATCTGACAATCCTGACCTTTTGATAAGAGAAGAGATCTTAATGAATTTGTGTAATAGAAAAAAAAAAAATATGCTACTACAATGAAGACCAGCCAAACAGTAGTTGCTTTGGTTTGTTTTGCTTTTGGTATTGCTGAAGATCAAACCCAGGACCTTGTATATGGTAGGCAAGCACTTCACTACTCAGTTATATATTCAGCCCTAGACACTAGTTTTAAAGACTTAATACTTTAATAAAATAAAGACAGACAAATTTTTGGGAATGTACAGGGTAATGTGGAAAAAAGAGTCATGTTAACGTGTTCAATGCTACAATTTGCTACATTAAGAATGTTTGGCCCAAAGGGTAGGTTCAATTTTAAATTGCTAAACGTATCATTAATGAGCTCTGAATCAATAATACCAGAATGTAGAAAATAGGTGTTCTGAAAGTTCCAAACAACAGAATTATTCCTATTAAAGATAATTATAAATAGGGTATAAAGTACTAATTCCTCAATTCATCAATCTATGCTTATAAAAATGATAAACATTATACAGTTTTCAATCAAGAGGAACAGGCTTGCTCCATCAACCTTCTTCTAGCTAGATGACTGTTTAACTATGTAAGATTTAGCAAAAATAAAATAAAGCTAGAAGTGGTGGCTCACATCTGTAATCCCAGCACTGCGGGAGGTGGGGGGGGCACTCTAATATGGAGTGAATGAATATGGAGACAAGGCTAGCTTGGGCTAGACTATGAAACCTTACCTCCCAAATGGGGGAGAGAGAAATGAGGAGGGGTAAGAGGATGTGGGGAACAAAGTGGACAGGAGAAGATAAAATATCTGAACCACTATATTTCTAATGCCTTTAAAGTAACCCTTCTCACATTCTCAAAGTCGTAACAAAACTGACCTATACTTTAACAAAACCATCTTTAAAAAGGTATTATAAGAGTTCAATACTAAGTATTAACATTATCTTCTTTTTAAGTCACTCACCTGTTAAACCTAGAGTTTGTAGCTGGAAGAGCCGGCCAAGTTCATAAGGCAAAACCCGTAAATAATTGTCATTTAAAAGCAATTCCCTGTTTAAAAAAAATTTTTTTAAAGGTTTTAGTACAATATAACATGCTTTATAAATACCAACATTTTATCATTCTTAGCTTTCTAACACACCATGAGTGATGTTTACATTCAAGGCATTTGTTCATGTTAATCCCAAAATGCTGTATAATATTATTAAAGTGCTACAATTATGAAATATTTCTATAATTTACTCATTTGGTAGCACAGATTAAATTCAGAGGTATATGAACTGCACATCAATCTCAGGCTAAATCAAGTTTTTCTTTCATCCACAATATCTAGCAGATGCCAATCAGTATGACAGATGTTACTAGTATCTAAAACCTATAAAACCTTGAACCAAGCTTAATTCATGAAAGTTTTTATTTTTATTTATTTATTTATTTATTTATTTATTTATTTTTTAAGACAAGGTTTTCTATTTGTAGAACTTGCTCTGTAGACCAGGCTGGCCTCAAACTCATAGAGATCCACCTGCTTCTGCCTCCTGAATGCTGTGATTAGAGGCATACGCCACCACCCAGAATGAAGAAAGTAAAATTTTAACAAACTTGATGAATGAACTAAAATTAGTAGTCAACTGCACTATTATAACTAAGTCATGACAAAATATTATGAAAAGAAATTAAAAACAAAAAGAAAAATACAGGACAAGGCAATAATATTAGCAGAATCTAATAATAGAAAACATGAGGAAAGGGCAGGCAAGATGGCTCAGTATGTACAGATATCTGATGCCAAGGCTGACAACCTAAGTTTGATCCATAAGACCCTCATGCAGGAGAGAATAGACTCCCACCAAATTTCCACATGCAAGGTGATGACATGTGCAAATCCACACACATAAACAAACATGTTATTTAAAAAAAATATGAAAAACAAAATATAACCTAATACAGAATATGTGTACTAAAGTACAAGACAAAAGATAGGAACAGATCAATAAAGACAAACACAGAAGAGAAAAAGACAACACAGGTAAGATCTTAGTTTGTAATTGAAATTTTGAATTTATTATGGAAAAAATAATACCTTCATTAGTAAAGGACAAAAAAAATAAGCATTCATAAAATCATTTAGGGGTGGTAAAAGAACAAATAACACAATAGTTATTAAGAACAACTTTAAGGAATTATTCCTATTAAAGCCAATAAATAGATAGAAAAACACACATACACCAAAAAAAAAATTCTTGTTTTGGAAGTTAATTAAGGTCCTGAAATGTTTTCTCCTAAAGGAAGTCTTGCCAGTGTAGTGGCACACGCCTACAGTCCCCAGACAAGGGAGGCCAGAACAGCACTGCTGCAAACTGAGGCCAGCTGGGGCAACACCTAAGACCCTGCTTCAAGAAGGAAGTCTTAAAGACTCTTGAACTATAAACCCATTTTAATCAAGTTTTTAGATTTCATTAAAGAGTTATGATATAAAATATAAACATATTTTTAACAGAGGTTTGTCCCTAAAATTTCCATTTATAAGCAAGTCATATTTTCTGAACTATTTCTGATTAGTCATATCAGACTTCACTCTAAGTAAGAACCTCCCCCTGCCTCAATTCTGTCAAGAAACTAGTAGCAGGAACTTAGAATGCAAAGGAAAAGAAATATTAAACAAGCCAACTCACACACTGTGCTTAAGACCATTCCTTTCTTTTGATCTTCATGGACATAGAAACCCGACCATAAAATAACATCCCATAACTTTCTTATTGGGTAAATTTGTAATTTTATATATAGTGAATAATGACTTTGTTTCCTCACCTGAGAGACACCATGTTTCCTAGTTCTGCTGGTAAACTTCTGAGTTTATTGGATGACAGATCCAGGTAAACCAGATTATGAAGCTTGGCGATATCAGGTGGAATGCGAGCAAGGTTGTTGTCATTTAGGTGCAGTGCTGTCAAGTGTGTCAATGACCAAAGTGATGTACTTAAGCTTCGCACTCTACCTAAAAGGCAAAACACTAAAGCATAAACTCTAGATCCAAGACAAACCTGAATCCCAACAACTGGGAAATGCTAGAGAAGGGGGCAAATACACACAGATATTGTATCTTTGACATTTGAACTCTTTATTTGAAGCAAATGATTACTAAAACAGCTGGCCTGCTTTAACTTCACTCCATTTTCAAGTCACTCTTTTTCATGAATGGAGGGAAAGAAAGAAAGAAGAAACAGCAAGAGACAGAGATAAGCACCAAGAGAAAGGGAGAAACTTACCAAGGCTGACTGAGACCTCTCTCAAAGCCAGATCTAAAGGATAAAACTTAAGGCTGAACTGAACTTTGGTGGCAAACTATGTGTGAGCTTTCATTTTTTTAAACATTCACAACAGTTTTCACACACTCCATGAAAATTATGAGTGAACGATATATCTAAAATACAGGGCCTGGATTGGTCAACAAACTTTAAATAAACAATGAATTATTATTATTTATCTTAGATTAGCCATGAGGAAAATCATTGTGTCCTCAAAAAATATCTTCCCTAGATTTCTGATTTTATAATTAGAGATTAACAACTGCAGTTTGATGGGAAATATCATTCTGTAAATATGTTTCTCTTATTGGTTAATGAATAAAACACTGTTGGCCAATAGGAAAGCAAGATAGGTGGACTAGGAGACATGGAGGACTGAGGAAGAAGGGGGATTTTCAAGATGTAGGACCAACAGGGTAGAACTCCAGATCCTCTCTCTGGTAAGATAAATCCACATGGAAATAGTTAGATTAATAGAAATGGGTTAATATTTAAAAAAGAGCTAGCTACTAAGAAATGCTAGTAACAGGCCAACAGCATTCATTATATCTAATACAGCATCTCTGTGTGTTATTTGGGGCTGCCGCAGCTCTGGGACCATGCCAGCGGGAAAACATGCTCATAACAGCAGTTTAAGATTTTATAATTAAATATACCATATTCAAGGAAATTAGTTTCACATCAATGACTATGAGCACTGGACATAAAGCATGCACTAAATCAGAAGACCTGCTTTAGACTTCAGACTTTTACCACTTATTAGCAATATGGGTCTGGGCAAATCAGCTAGTCTCTGGGTTTATAATATGGGATGTTTATCTTGTAAGTTTTCGGTGTTTTGTTTTCTGATCATGTAACCATGAAGGGCCTCAAACTTGCTATGTAACTGAGGATGAACCTTGAATTTCTTGATCTTCTTGCCTCTACCTCCCAAATGATAGGATTACAGGCATGCACTCCCATACCCAATTTATTAGGTACTGAGTACTGATACTAAGCCAAAACTTTATGAACTCCAGGCAAGCACTCTAAGAGCTGAAAGAGATCCCAGGCCTGTTTATAATTATTATAAAGCATAATGTATATAAAGATTTATAAAAGCAAAGTGATGGTTTTTGTTGTTGTTCTTTTTCCGGTTTTTCGAGGCTGGGTTTCTCTGTGGCTTTGGAGCCTGTCCTGGCTCTGTAGACCAGGCTAACCTTGAACTCACACAGAACCACCTGCCTTTGTCTCCTGAGTGCTGGGATTAAATGTGTATGCCACCACAACCAGGGAAACTTTTGGCTTCTTGTATATACTTAAATGTACTGCTTATATGCACTTATAAGTACTTATGTGTACTTGGAGTTTTTATATGTACCTTGCTTAAATTCCCTAACATTAGGGTCTTATAGTTCATGGTACATTTATCACAAGTAAGAATCCAATACTGATACAGTAATAGCTTCATTCAGAATTTACCAGTTTTAATATCTTTTTGTTTTTTAAATTCAATTTGGGCTGTTTTAATCATCATGTCTCTTTAACCCGTCTTAAGGTACTTTTTGATGTTGTTTTTCACAATCTTGTTAACTTTGAAGTGTATCGGTTGGGTATTTTATACAATGCCCTTTGGTTTTAATTTGATGTTTTTCTCATTTTCAGACTGGTTTACAAGTTTTTCAAGTCATATTCTACTTCAACATATTCTGAACATGCCTATTCACAGCTAGCAGGTATAGTTACACAGATAGAGTTCAGGGCTCCTTCTTTGTCACTACTCAGATAATAGGAGGAAAGCAAAGATTTTAATTTACAAATTACTCTGCAAAAGTCAACACAAAATTTATTATATTATAGAACCTAATTTTACTCAGAAGATGAATTCTGAATATATTTAATTATAGATGGTTTTCCTTGCTTGAGTCAATCTCACAAGAAAGGGAAAATATCTTAAAAAAAAAAAAAAATCTAAAAAGACCAACAATGCCTCAATGCATCAGGATTCTTACATATTCCCAATTAGTTCATTCAGTTACAGAAAACAAAGTGCCTAAAAATACAGCAATATTCTTGCCAATTTTTGCTATATATCCCAAATAAAATGCTTTAGATTCCACTCACCCGAGATTTCTAATTCTGCCCAGTGAGATTTTTTCCCATTGGCTACCTCCTCTGCTGACATGATGGTATAAATTCTGCGAGGATCTGGAGGATCATATTTTTCCTTTGGCATCCCTATTAGTCTGTGGGTATAAAAAAAAATCATTATTATAGTCAGATGGCTCAAGTAGTTAAAGTGCCTATTATATAATCTTAATGATATGAGTTCAAGCCCAGAAATCCATGATGGAAGAAGACCACCAACTTTGGAAAGTTGTCACCTGACACCACCCCCACACACTGCATTTTTTTAATGTTATGGTTATTAATATAATTATTTGAGGAAATTGGTCATTGGGGGAAGATCAATGTATACAGGGAGAATATGAGCAAATAAAAAAAATAAATTAAAAATAATAGTTATCAAAAAAGGAAATGTTTTCTTTTTCGCTCCTTTTTCCTATCCCCTTCCCTGTCTTCTCCTGCTAATCTAAGAAACTGGCTGCAGGCTCTGATGAACCACCCCACCCTCAAAATATTTAAGAAGAATCTTCCTCCTCTTTCAAGTGGGCCCTGACTCTTGTCAGCGAACCCACCACACTTCTCTGGTGCTGTGACCTGAACTCAAAGCTTCCACCATGCTGTTGACCCTGTCCATGGCATTGATAATGCATCTAAGAAATGCCTTACTACCTACCACCCCTTACACCAGTAATCTATCCTGGTATACTCTTTGATCAAACTACCATGTTAGTTAAATCATTTTATACTACATATTTTCACTTAAAGAAAAACACTATATATTCTAGGCTTTTGGAGAAACTCTTTAACAGATGCCCAAGGGGAAATGCAAATGAGCAACCACACTAGACTACAGAGAACACTGTGTTGCTCCCCAATTCCTTCCCCTGTGCCACACTGCACTACTTTCCTAGAAAAGCTAATCCTACAACTAGTTTCCTTAATTCAACTACATCTAGTCTAATAGCCTGTAATTCTATTGCTCCATCTGAGTACTGCTCAGTTATTCCATACCTAAGACTAATAGCACATGACTGTCCCTTTTGAAACTGGAATTCATTTAGACAATGCTCAAGACCCATTCTATGTTTGTGAAAGAAGGATCCTCTTTCCTGCTGATCTTAAACAAGGAAGGATAAAGCCCAGATAGTTCCACATAGCCCTCCAACTATAAAGAAAGCTGACCCCATAAGGTCTGGAAAACAGACAAAAGAAAAGGCAAATTTCTCAATAAATCACATGTGCAGCACCCACACACAGTATGCTTCTCTTACTACAGAAAGCTGAGTTTTGTCTTCTGTTATATCCTAATCAGGTAAATATATATCTTGATTTCCCCAAGTTGCTTATAATTTATACCTATAGTTCTAAGGTAATTGTCACTCCCTTTTATACTCAAAAGTACTTAACTAGATAAATTACAGAGCCATGACAACTAAAACAAAAATCATGCCATTGTCTTCATAATCATAGTACAATCATCAATGGTGACAAAAATCACAAAACCACTTCAAATTTGCTAAGCCCTGAAAATAACTGCATTCAAGGGGTCCAATACAAGACTTACTGCTTTTATAGCAGAAGACAAAATCCATTTCAGAAATTATACAATGAAAAAAAGTAAGTATCTTCAACAAATGATGCTGGCATAACTGGATGTGAACAAGTAGCAGAATGTAAATAGATCCACATCTCTCCCCATGCACAAAACTCAAGTCCAAATGGATCAAAAGCCTCAACATAAATCCAGCCACACTGAACTCTGAACCTCATCGAACAAAAAGTGGGGAAGTAGACTTGAATGCATTGGTACAAGAGACCACTTCCTAAACAGAACACCAGTAGCACAGACACTGAGAACAACAATTAATAAATGGGACCTCTTGAAACTGAGAAGCTTCTGTAAGGCAAAGGACATAGTCAACAAGAAAAAACAGCAGCCCACTGAGTAAGCAAAGATCTTCACCAATCCCACATCTGACAGAGGACTGATCTCCAAAATATACAAAGAACTCAAGAAGCTAGTTATCAAAACACCAAATAATCCAATTAAAAAGTCGGGTACAAAACTAAATAGAGGAATCTAAAATGGATGAAAGACACTTAAAGTGCTCAACATTCTTAACCATCAGGGAAATGCATATCAAAACGACTCTGAGATAGCATCTTACTCCTGTCAGAATGGCTAAGATAAAAAAACACCAATGATAGCTTATGCTGAAGGGGATGTAGAGTAAGGGAAACACTCCTCCATTGCTGGTGGGAGTGCAAACTTGTACAGCCACTTTGGAAATCAGCACAGTGGTTTCTCAAAAAATTGGGAATTGGTCTATCTCAAGACGCAGCAATACCATTCTTGGGCATGTACCCAAAGGATGTACACCCACACAAAGACATCTGATCAACTAGGTTCATAGCAGCAGTATTCATAATAGCCAAAATCTGGAAACAGCCTAGATACCCCTCAATGGATAAAGAAAATGTGGTACATTTACAGAATGGAGTACAACTCGGCAGTAAAAAAGTGACATCTTGAAATTTACCGGCAAATGGAACTAGAAAAAAACATCCTGAGTGAGGTATAACCCAGACCCAGAAAGAAAATCACAGTATGTATGTTTCAAAAGCAAAGGATAAACAGCCTATAATCCACAACCTCAGAGAAGCTAGGTAACAAAAAGAACCCGAAAAGAAACATACATGCATCCCCTGGGAAGGGGAAATAGACAAGATCTCCTGAGAAAATTGGGAGCATGGGGGAGAGAGGAGAGCAGAAGGGAAGAGAAAAGAGAGAAGGGAGAGGAGATTGGGTTGAGATGGGAAAAGGGCAGGGAGGGAGAGCAAGGAAAGAGATAATCCTGATTGGGGGAGTCACAGGACTATGGAGAAACCTGGCACTAGGGGAATTCCCAGGAATCCACAAGGATGAATGACTCCAGCTAATAAGACCCTAAGTATCAGCGGAGAGGGTGTCTAAACTAGCCTTCCCCTGTAATAATCAGATTGATGACTACCTTAATTATCATCATAGAACCTTCATCCAGCAACTGATGGAAGTAGATACAAAGATCCACAGTTAAGCATTGAGCTGATTTCCCAGAATCCAGTTGGACAGAGGGAGGAAAGATAAAATGAGCAACGGGGTCAAGAACAGTTTGGGGATACCCACAGTTATATCCAACCCCAGCTAGTGGGAGCTCACTCACACCAGACTAACAGAGGGGAACATGCATAGGACCAAACTAGGTAGGCCCTCAGATTGTGGGTGACCGAAGTGAGGCTTGGGCAGTCTTTGGGGCCACTGGTGGTGGGACCAGTATTTATCTCTGGTGCTTGAGTTGGCTCTTTGGAGGGATGCCTTGCTCATGCTAGATATAGGGAGGAGGCCTTTGGTCCTACCTCAAAGTAAGGTGCCAGAGTTCGCTGACTCCCCATGGGAAACCTTACCCTCTCTGAGAAGTGGATGGGAGGTGGGGTGAGGGGCAGCAGGAGGAGAGAAGGGAGTGGTAACTGGGATTGGTGTGTAAAATGAGAAAGGATTTTTTTTTTAAACTGCTTAGAATCTGTGGGAGCTAAGAGGATATCCATCATCACAATTAAGGCAATTTTCAAATGTTATAAAATGGTAGGAAAAGAAAATCCACTTCAGATCAAACAATAGCAAATGTCAAAGCCACATGTGTCCAATTAAGTATCTACATTTTATCCTCTCAAATTGCATAGATATAGTTGATTTAATTTTTTATTTTGTTAGTGGCCTGGCATATGCCTAAAATCTCTACCACTAGGCTGCATCCTCAACTCTACTGCTATTCGCTCATTTTCCTTTGTTCTTTCTCATATGTACCCTTAAACCAAAAATCCAAATCTGTGGCCATTTCTAAGTTAAGAAATAGTATCCCAAGAGTTACCTTCAGGAGGTATAAAATTTGTTGCATATAAAGAATAAGTAGTTGTATCCCATCATGTACCAAGAAATTAAAGCTAGCTTATAAGACCACACTCAAAATTTCTCATGTCATTTTTCCCTCTAGTAAAAGGAGAGCAAATTCTCCTCATTGGTTATGTATCCTCACTCTATAAGCCAATTCTTCAGTTCTATTCTCATCATATTACATTATTTGAAGTTACAATGTTAAAGTAGAAAAAAAAAATCCTTCTGATCAAAAGAACAGAATCTATGGCCTAGGTGGCAATCTAACATTTTAGTTGGGCCAGATCAATAACCTGGCCAAGGACCACATCTACAAAGGCAGGCTCAACTTAAGCCATGCTAAAGAAATAAATTTTCCTTTAATGAGATACTAAACTCTTCCTTTCCACGATTCCTGCTCCCTATCCCTTCCAGTCAATATAAAAAGCTACAATGAGGTTTGACCAGTTTTGCCTGAGGCCTCAGTTAGAAAAGTACACCTCTTCCATTTTTCTTTTCTTTTTTTTTTTTTTTTTTTTTTCCTCTTTCCTTTGGATACAGGCCAGAATGTAAATACGCTTTTCTGACTTTTGGATTTCCTTACTTTTCCCCTAAAGCTTCCCTCCATGCTATGTGACTGCTTAGCATATGTCTAACCTCCATGGCATAGCTTTTATCCTTCCCTCCTCCAGGCACCTACTGAGGATTTACAGCTTGCCTACCTTGGGATGGTTTTTTTTCTTTAAACTCTAATAAAAATGCCTTCAATATTCCACATAAGTTCATTCCTAAATTATTTATGACACCAAGAACCCAAAGGGGGTCCCTAGTGTTCTTGGTATATCATCTGGCAACAGAGTTGGAACCCAAAAAATCTAGTAATAATAATAAAAAACCCTATTTTCCATAAAAGTTGTATAAATAATTATAAAGCACAAAGAATGTAATCATTTTTCACATAGAGAGCTTGTTTTCTACCACATTTTGCTGATTTTAAATATTTCTCAAAGTTTTCAGAAAAAATGAAAGTTAAGTTTTCTATATAACACATGTGAATTCCATGGGCATTTTTATATTTTAAGATTATAGAACTGTAAGTATTAAGCAAAGCAAACAGACATGATATGCCTGTTATGTATCAACCACAAGATACATAAGGAGATGAAAAGCATATTTGAATAATGTATCATTTTTATAAAACTTAATAGG